AGTCAAAGTTAGCTCAATAAAGGCCTCAGGTTATGCTTTATATCATTCTTTGGTCTAGTTCAAGGTCTTTTCACATAAAAAATCAGTCTAGTTCCTTAAGAAAAGCAGTTAACTTATAGGAAATATAAAGTGGAAGGACTACACACCATTTTCCCACCAGTATTCTAGTTCTGCAGGCATTGGGAGTCTTAATGGTGCCTTATAGAAAGAGTTTAACCACATTTCTCTTTCTTGATCCACTTCTTGCACATAAGTTTTCCAGTAATCAGGAACCTGGATCATAGAAACAACAGATTTCATACTAGATAGCATGCAGAGGTAACCATTAGTTAATTCTCAAGAGTAGGTAAGAATCATACTTCGTAAAACTGGTTGATGAAACCTGGAGCCTGCCACACATCCTCTTCCTCATAAAAATAGGGATGTTGAGGATCACCATATGGACCCCTTTCTTCCCTAACCACTGCATCCAAATGACAAGATCAGTTGTCAATGTCTCATTGAGGTTTGCCTTATAGATCAATAAGCATTAAAGATTATAATATTACAAACTTAGCCAACAGTTTGCCATTTTTACTAACTGAAGACATATAACCTGCTATATTCCACTGTTCCACCCTCCCCCCTCCCCTTCACTTTTCCTTTTTCCCCCCCCCCCCCCCCTTTTTTAAAACACTTCTCCTTTCATCTGTGACATCCTTACAATAATATCTGATTGGAATGTGAAACTACACCCTTCTCTTTTTCAATTATGTGATATCCTTATAATAATATTTTATTGGAATGTGAAATTACTTACTTCCATCAGGCTTATTAATGAACATTCGAGCCTTGGCTGCAGCAACTTCAGCTATGCCTGCATGCATCTGAATAGCAATTATGTAAGAACAAATTTCTAAATAGAAGCAAAAGCAACTCCTGACACCCCCAAACCAGTTGCCTAAACAAAAAGTAAAAGAATAAGTGTCATACCGTGGAAATTTCTTCAGTACAACCAGCAGGATCCTCCAATTTCTCACCAAAGTAGAACCGTCCCTTCAAATAAAAACCACAAAAGCTATGAAGACTAAGTATACATGAATTTAAACGCAACTTGACCATATAGAATCAAGATTAACAATAAGTATCAGCTAGAGGGTAAGCAATTTAAGAATTCATTCCCTGAAGCCTAATACTGCTGCATCTTATGCAACAATAAACATTGTAAAAGCTGATATCAGTGGATTTGCAAGTCATGTGAAATCATAGAAAAAATAAAAAAATTAAATTTCCAATTGAATCACTCTTATTTGATTTTATTTCATATACTATGCATATAATAAAAGAAGGCAAGAAAACTCTATAGAAAACGGTGGTTCAATTTGATGTTGTCTAAGAAAGTGTTAAAAGCATTTTCCCATAGAAGCTAATATCTCAATGCTGATCGTGAAAAAACAAAAAGGGAAATTTATATGAAGTATAAAAGTATCACGTAAATCAAACTTTGGGAATTAATATGGACCTACATAGATGGGTTGTTCATTCATTTCATACACACCACATCCATGCATTCTGCCATGCTTCCACTGACCAGCATAACGATACCGACCTTTTTCCCTGACACAATTAACATACAATGAGTAGAAGAAGAAAATAATGATGCCAGCTGATGCCTTCTACTATAGAAGAAAACTTTTGGGGAGAAAAACTGGAAAATAATTCTCTTTCAGCTAAAAGTACACAAGCAGGTAAGCTTTCATCACCAACCAAGATTATTATGACTTTAAGAGAATGGACATGCCCCATATAAAGTTTCTCCCCAAAAAAAAAATGACCCATATAAAGTAAGTAAATCTAAGTTCACAACTCTGCCCAAGATAAATGTAGTAATGACTACCCAGAAAAGGTCAGACGTTCAATTGCTACATTTTGATCTAGCTGACCATGCCTAAAGTTCATGTAAAATACCAAAACATGAATGCATAATGACTTTCAGATGTCGTCGATACAGGACTCTGCAAATCATGGTGATGGTCGGAAACTAAGCATCGACATGAAAAAAAACATAGCTGAAATCAGTGACTAAGATACTTAACATGTAATCATACAATAGGAAAAAGATAAATTACAATACATGTACATTGTTTATAGCTGTCAACAGCATGAAATAAAGGAAGAGTAAAAATGGAAGCTAAAAAAGAGAAAGAAAGCGGAAATTCACAGCAATAACTTACGGCCTCTTTCCATATTGTCTTATCCACTCATCATTCTCGTAGAATGGGATTTCATAATTCCCATTAGTGAGACGAACACTGTCTTCAATATCCATCTCCAGCCATTCTCTATCTTCTGGGCTCATAAAATCTCTCTTTATGATTTTCCCTTCAGCTCGCATTTGTGCTTCAAGTCTGAGAACCATCAAATGAGTCAGTCTGAAGCTCAAGATCCAGAAGCTCTACCTGGACAACTATCAAATTCAAGTAATACTTTCCATAGTTAGTAGACATACTTGGAACCAGGGATAGGTTCTATATCAGGTATATCGACTTCAACAACCCCATGTCCCTCCTCCTGGTTTTGAAGCCATTCTCCCTCGTACCTACAGTAAGAAGTTCATGATAATTTAGTTTGTCACTGGAAGTTAATTCATATGAACGTCCACATTAACTGAATATTTGAGTAATATTTTAGAAAATCGCAAAAATGCGCTATAAACAGACCTGACTAGACCTTGCTCAGCAACATAAACACCCTTTCCATGAGCCAAGTCATCCCACACAGTGCCTTCATACCTTTTGGAAATGACATATAAGAAACAACATAAGCATAAGCAAGTAGGATAGGAGTTCTGTATCACAAGTTCACAACGAACAAATAAAAACAAGGAAAATTTCCTTAGCACTAATTATTCCTTAAAGCCATATACATTAATAATTGTCTTGGACCTCAATAACAGCAAAAGTTCAATCGCTAAGAACAGAATTTCTGTGCAAAATTATAGCCACAAGGCCCCACAACCAGATTCCAACAACAATGAAGAAATCAGTGTTGAGCAATATTATACCAATTACATACAGGGGTGATGGGATGTCTTGTACACCCTAATCTTCATCAAAACCTATACTTCATACATCATTGCGAATACTTCCCTAAACTAAAAAATAACATATAAAACTCAAAAAAGTCCTCATGATACCATAACAAAACCTAAACCACCCCAAAAGCCATATTGGCCTGGGCAGAGATATAGAATAAAAACAGCTTCAATCAAATAATCCCATAAAACACAGTTAAAGACAAGTCCAAATTGCTTCACAAAAGTATAATGCACAGCTTAATTACAGCCAAACTCACATTCTTATTCAAAAAGGAAATTTTCATAAAATTAGTAAGCAAATGCACTAGACAAAAAATCTTTCATCGTGATATGATGACATAAACCAAACAAACTTGAAAGTGGTATCGGGCAAAAAGTTTCTTATGTTCATCCCTTGATAGGGAAGTTAATCAAACAATCACCTAAAACATAATCAAACACATATACACTATGCATCACAAATCATTATACACAGCTTACACCCAAACCCACATTATCATTCAAAAAGTGAAATATAATAAAATTAGCCAGAAAATTCATTAACAAGAAAGTAAACCCAAAACCCCACTTAAACCCGAGCAGGCCAGCAACAGAAAATTAAAGCAATATTTAATAACAGCTTCAGACATCCAATGCAGTCAATTGCATAATTCATACCCCAAACCTACACTAAACCCCAATAACAAATCCCCACCATTTTCATCCATTCAAACAACAAAACCAAAAAAAACACTCAAAAACCCAAAACCCCACTTAAACCCCAGCAGCAGAAAATTAAAGCAAAATTCAATACAGCTTCAAACATTCAATTCAGTCAGTTGCATAATTCATACCCCAAACCTACACTAAAACCCAATAAAACCCCTCAAATCCCCACCATTTTCATCCATTCAAACAATAAAACCAAAAAAGCTCAAAAACCCATCAATCAAAAAACCCGAAAAATCTCAACTTACGAGCTTCCATCAGGAAAAACATAGCTAACCCATCTCAAAAACTCCTCAATCCGATCCAATTCTTCAATAACAGACTTAGGAGTAGAAATATCATGATGATTATCAGGAATAGCAGGATAACTCTTTCTATAAGGCACATAAAAGGGAGCAATTGGAGGGTCACGACCTTCGCGAACTTCTTTCTTAACAACTTCCCAATCATCATCATCAGCCAAAGCTGGGTCCCACCCAGGTTTAGTCATCTCAAGAGGTGCATCAGCCCATAACTCTTTAAGGTCTTCTTCCCTCCAGTTCTCCCTATCTCTTGGAAAATTGAATAAGTCATCTTCATATTCAATTGCTTCCTCTTCCTTTTGTAGCGCTTGTTTGTATCGGCGGGACTGGTATGCGCGAGCAAAGCGCTTGATGTTGGCTTCGGCGGAGTAGTCGCCTTCCGCTATGTCGTCGAACTCGCCGGCGCGGCGGTAGTATGCTTGTCGCTTTTTTTGTTTTTGGGTGGGTCCTTCGGTGTTTTCGGTGTCGTTTTCGTCGGGTTCGTAGTCGGAGTCTGAGTCTGAATCTGAGTCTGAGTCGTCTTCGTTTGCGGAATCATCTGGGTCATCTTCTTGTTCTTCGTCATCTTGTTGTTGAGGGGGTTGGTCAATTGGGGGAGATTGGTTGTTGTCTGACATTGTTGTTGAGAGATGGGGATAAAGAAAGATAAGGTGAAGTGTGGAGAAGAAGAGGGAGTGGAGTGAGTGAGTGAGTGAAAGAAGAGGGAGATGAAATGAAGGTGTGTTTTTGCTATTTTTGTTTTTGGTTTTGGGCTTAGTATGAGAGTAAGGTTTGAATACTAACAACCCAATAAAAACTAATGTGGTAGCCCATAAGCTATTTACATTTTTTTTTTTTTTTTTTTTTTTTGTTGTTGTTGTTGTTGTTGTTGTTGTTTGTGAAAACTTAATTTTCCAGAGTTTCGGCCTTGTTCAATCAGCTTTTATCGGTTGGTTGTTAGCTGTTTGCACTAACTACTTTGAGTGGCTGATTCCCATTAATTGTATAGTGTAAAAAGTGTTTGTTAAATAGCTGTTAGTTATTAGTTGTTTTAGTCTTTTAGAGTATTATTACAAGAAATAAAATAAAAATATAAAAAAAAAACTAGCACTAGCTCCTCATATGAGCTTTTTGAACCCACAAAACTCTTTCAAACAGATCCGGAGCAAACACTTTCAAGAGGTTTTTATTCTAAAAAGTGTTAACCAAACACCCCCATCAATTCAGCTAATTTCAATTCCATTCAATTTTATTTTAAGCGATTATTTCATCATATGCCCTTTTTTTTTGTTTTTGGTTTTTTTTTTTTTTTTTTTTTTTTTTTTTTAGGAAAATTTCATCCTGTGTCTTTCAAAGTTTAAAGTAGTGAAATATTAAAGTGGTATCATTGTGGTCTCCAAAATTCACAAGTTACCTTTGAAGTATGCTGCTAATCTATGAAATGTCATTAAAGACTAACGACATTAGATGGATGTAAAGTTTGTGTTTATTAATGCATGAAATACTTCTAAGGTATATAAGTATTGTTTTTATAATGAATATTGACAGTAAATTTTCCTACTTTATTAGTTCAATAGATTAGGTTATAATCGTTTGAGAAGACGAACTTAATTGTGTATCTTTCTTTTTAAAAAAAGAGGAAAAATTGTTAATAACTACCAAGTTTATAATCAATTTTGAAAATAACTACCCTATTTCAAAAAAAAAAAAAAAAAAAAAACAAATATATATAACTACCAAGTTTCTTCTAAAAGTTTTGGTAACATTACCTTATACAATTTTTTTGTTCAAAAACTTAACGTTACACGTCATATAACCCCACCTATTTGTCTATTTATAACCACCTTAATTCCTTCTACATTCACAATTCAATTCCCATCAACCGATTTACACCCCCTTCACTAAAATGAAAACTCTTTGTTATTTGTTTTTTCCATTTTTAGATTTTTATACGTAGCCCTGAGAACTATGTTAAAAATATATATTGTACTAACAAAAAATAGTTAAAATATCTATCTATGATCTTACAGAGGATGAATGTTCTTGGTCTCATCTATCATTTGATCCAAGATAATCTTTTAATATAAAAGATTTTCTTTTAAATTCATCATTTTTTTTCCTTCCCAGTCGAATATTCATCCTATATTAAAGACTGAGAAAACCAACATCCCATATTATCTTTCAAAGAAAAAAAAGAAAAAAAAAAAGTTGAGTGATAGTGAAATAGCAGCTGTGTTTCAATATATACCTTAATATATTCCCTTATTCTTACTTTTCTCTTTTATTCATTCATATGCTGCCATCATAGTTCCTTAAAACACCAAATAGAGGAATGAATTCCGAGATACTGCAACAACAAAACAATGCTTATTGGATACCAATAACCCCAGAAAAGCCACATTCGAGTCTCACAAACGATATTACTAGCAATGTGACACCAACGACTACACGTATATCCGGTCGAAATCTACCCAGTGGTTCATCGTATCCGGAGACTCTTGGCTCAGTTAATGGTGCAACTCTTGCTGGTGCAAATCAATTTGGATTTCGACACGATGCTACTGCGAGCATTGATCATGTGCCCCATCCTGGTATGTACATTAAACTCCATTGGTTTACAGTAATCCTGGTTTTTTTTTCTTGATTAAAATTAAATTGACTAAAAAAATTTCAAGTATCAATTTCTGTGCATTACTGTAAGTCTTGTTATTCAACTATAATCAAATTTAATAAGTAAAATTCAGGTGAAAAGACCGGGAATAAAACCTTGATTATTTTAATTAGAATACTAAATTCTAATTCTTTTGGGGTCTTATGTCAAATTAGGGTTTGTTATTGGATTAATTGAGTTTGTCAGGTTTCGGGTTTTGGTAGGGTTTCGGGCCTGGTCAAATTCTTCATCGTAGAATTTATGCTCATTCCAAAGTCTGTTGATAACACAGTAAAATTAATTTTTGAGCCCAGAAATTCGAACATTATTTATTTTTTTTTTTTTTCCCCAAACTTTTCTCACCAGTTTAACAAATGTTCCATTGGATTCCCTTAAAAAAAAAAAATAAGAAAAATTGCTCCATTGGATTCTTTGGTTCATAATATTCGTGCAACTGACGCACAAGCTGTTGTAGAGCAAAAACAGAAAACAGAATTTTAATGGCCTGAGACATATATATTTTTTAATAAAAGCATTTAAATCAAGGTAAATCTAAAAGATAGAGGCCATAGTGGTTTGGTTGGAGTTTTTAAATACTAACTTATAGATTTTTTAAATACGTTAATTTTTTTTTGTTTAAATACAACGTATAGATTACATTTTGACTTTATAAGTTTAAAATTTTAGTTAAAAAAAAAAAAACTATGTAATTTATAATTGGATCTTGTTAACAATCGCCCAACAGTATTAATTTGTGAATACATGTCAAAATCATACATCAATCAATGAAATTAATGATCTTTTTAATTTAATACCCCTCCGATTCATAATACAAAACAAAGGTGGTAATTTTTGACACTATTTTCCTCTTTTTGATGAGTTGTAATTTTATTTTATTTTTTTGTATTTTTAACATCAATTTTCAACCCTTTATGTCTTCAATTATTTCAAATTACTTTTTCTTTCTTTCTATATCTCTAACCTTACATGCACATATGTACTTCTCATCATTAGTTTTAAAAAATGTACAACTTTTTTAATTGTCATTGTATAATGAGATGGAGGGAGTATTCTATTTTAGTTATCTTATTAGACATCTATTAGTTTTTGTATAATACACATTCCGTTTAGTATTAAAAATCATTCACGTGACACTTTCTAATTTATTTCATGTACTCCCAATTAAATAACACTATCATATGCCAAATATAGACACGGATTCAAAACATGAAATTAATGCCGGGCATCCCTGGGCCTAAAAACAATTGTTGTCCATTTATTGGTTTGACTTTCCAAATAAGATTATTAAATATTCCTCATTATTCCCTTCGTCCCTTAATTTTTGCCCCATTGCAAAAATATGGGTCAAATTTTTGAAATTTTGACCATGAATTTTCATTAATTTATAAGTGATGATATTTACGTGGGATCTTGTAAGAATCATCTCATTATATAGTTTATTAATATCAAATTTTTATAATTTTTAAGTGTATATAAATGAAGATATATGCGTTTGAATACGTGTTTTGGAAACCATGAAAAGTCAAATAGGGCAAAAAAATGAGAGACAGAGGGAGTATAAGATTACATTGTCTATAAATTTCTTGTAGGTATTGAAAAACAAGCCATACTAGAGAAAAAGACCTAACATCTGATCTAGATTTAAAACAATAAAAAACTATCCTAAATTTCATAATAGAATTCATCGAAAGTATCATTCACGGAATATAAATCAGAGGCTTAAAAAAAAGTTAAAGTGATTGATTCATATTGGTAAACTGTTAAGTGTACTTAATTCATAATATTTGTATAAAATCACATTCATAATCAATTCTAATATTTTGGTAGGTTTTTGCACCGAAACCCTTGGATACAATTACTCTTTTTTATCTTATGATTTGGTCCCTCTAGATTAAACATTAGTTACAACATTTTTACTGATCGGTACAAGAAAACAATTAAAAATGGGATATATATGAAGTAGAAGTAAATAATCATCATATATCATAATGTATAAAGAGAAAATGCTATACATGACCCTTATGGCTACATATAAAGAGTTTTATATGGAAAAAACAAATAAAAACATAACATTAATTACACTGATTTACGTCTGGATTTGTCATACATTTCTAAATTAATAACAAATTAGGAAAGATATTAAATTTGTTAAAAAAAAAAAAAAAAAAGTAAAAGATAAGGAATGCACTACCCCAACAATGTTAATGATGTGAAATTGAACACTAAATATTCCAAAGAAGTTGTTCTTTACTTCTTGTGAAACAACTCAATGGATTTTAATTTTTAAGAGTACTAAATAAACAACTTCAAATTCATTTGAGGTGAAAATTGTTACAATTTGAGAATCCTGAGAATGGTAGCATGTAGTTTCTTAAAAAAAGATTTTAACATGGATTACTGTTTACTACTCTGTAGTAGTATGTTTTGTATTGAAATTATTATTGATTCTTCTAACATTTTGGTAAACTTTGTTTTTAGATGTGGAGCAAAATTCGAAAAACAAAAGGAGAAAACTTGGCATTGGCAAAGACTTAAACAGGAAGCCCGGGGAGAAGCGGAAAAATAAATATTTTTGGGCAAAAATCGATAATAAAAAGGTGCAAACTCCTAAGCCAAAAACTCCTAAACCAGTGACTCCAAAGCCTCAGACTCCAAAAACTCCTAAGCCTAAAACTCCTAAGCCAATAACAAAGAAAGATGTGAAGAAAGACAAGGAAGAAGGAGGTAAAGTCGTGCCTGAACATATTCGACCTGAAAGTGAAACAGAAACAGAAACAGTTTTAAACTGTAAACGAGCTTTGGATTTTGACATAAACATTGCCAACTTAGAGGACGAGGCTGGTAAAGTAATTGAAAGCCAAATTCCCGATGTTACTGAGCAAGTTTCGAATTCTAATGTGGTGGAAAAGGCGGAATGTGTGGAAAAGGCAAGTGCGAGTAAGAATGATCATTCTTGTGATGGTAAAAAGAGGCAAGAAGGTTTGAGAGTTTATGGAAGGAGGCATTCTTGTAAATGTTTGAGTGAAAGTCGAAAGATAGGGCCTAATTTTGCGTACAGTCTCAAGAAGAAGAGAAAAGGGAGGAAAAAAAAGTTTATTGATAAAATCAAACTTGATTTTAGCTTCATCATTGAGGATAACAAAAATTTGTTGTTGCCAGCAAAATTGAAGATTGTTGATGAGTCTTTTGGGTGCATTTTGAGTTTGCTTTCTTCGCAAATGAAGTTCAAACAGGGGAAGAGATTAATGAAAAGATTCCCTTTAGCTCGTAATGTTTCAAAACAAACAAGCATCGTACATGATGGACAAATTGTTTCGAAACAAATGAGTATTGTTGATGATGGACAGAGTGTTTCGAAACAAACAAGCATTGTAATTGATGGACAAAGTGTTTTGAAACAAACGAGCATAGTGAATGATGGACAAAGTGTTTCACAAGGTAATTGATTAAAAGCTTATCTCAATTAAGTTTAATTTGACATACTCTTAAGTAAAAAAAAAAAAAAAAAAAAAAAAGTTTAATTATTTGATCGATGTACAGGACAAATACATGAAAGAAGTTTACTATCTGCTCTTTGTTCGACTCCAAAGAGTACAACAAATGTAGCAAAGGAGAAGAAAACAAGAGCTCTTTATAAACGCAAGGAAACGCGTAAAGCTCCGGAGAGTAAAACAAAGGAAGCAAAAGAGAAGGGAACAAGAGGTCCTTATAAACGCAAGGACAAGCATAAAGCTTGTTTCGTCGAGCTTCAAAGTAATGTTATGAATTGTAGTCACTGTAATTAGTTTTAATCGCGATTATGTTTTATTTATACATATTTATTAATGATATTCAACCTTTTTTTCTTATGTAGAATGGGATGGAAAGTCAGTGGAGCAAATAATGGATTCCTTAGTTGAATACTATGAATCTATGAATATCTATGATGACCCTAAGTCGATCGAGTTGAGTATTATGGTCAGGGAAGGAAATCATGGAGGTGATGGTATTCAAAAACCTGATGAAGAAGACGCCGAATTTCGTGAAGAAAAAGCATTTATAGAAGCAAAGATGGATAGATTCTATTTTCTAATGACTCAACTACAAGGTATTTCATACTCTGTACTATTGGTTGTTCTACAAACTTAATGTTACCGATCCTAGGCTTCAACCGTTAGCTTAAGCTTTTGGTTGAAGTCCATAATCAGTTTATATATGCTATCACTTACTTTTTTGAGTTTTTATTTACTCTAAAGAAAGTTTATTACTTGCTTATATTAGTATGTAAACTCTAATTTGCAAAAATTGCAGGGCCTAAGGATTATGTAAAATGGAATGGTTCTGTTTTAGACTCGGTTGTTGGCGTTTTTCTTACACAAAATGTAACCGATGTTCTCTCAGGGTACATATTTAGTTCAACTCTTTAAATTTAGTTTTATACTTAGACAAAGTATGTGTCAGTTCTATTGTATAATATGTATACTAAATTTATGATTGGTGTAGGAGTGCATACATGGAATTGGCTTCGCAATATCCTATAAAACAACGAACCAATGAAGATGAGGATAGTGGTGGAGATGTATCTGTCTCAAGCAGCCAAGAGTCTACGGATAGTAGTAATGTAAAGGGCCCGATCATCGAGTATCCAAACGACGAAGAAGAAGCAAATCCAACTGAAGCAGATCAAGAAGAGTCATGGAAGAAAGAATATGATAGTGCTATGAAGGAAATGCTAGCATCTTTGCCTAGTTTTAAAGGTAAAGAAAAGAAAGGTGAAGGTGCTGAAAGCTTTGATTGGGACTCGATAAGATTGCAATTCCTAGGAAAGAGTACTGAAAGAACCCCTGAAACACAAGATTCTGTTGATTGGGAAGCAGTAAGGAAGGCGCCGATTAAGGACATTGCTAAAGCAATTGAAAAGAGAGGCCAACATACGATTATTGGAAAAAAGATTCAGGTACGAACCAAGGAATGCTGTTATATTAGTTGTATGAAGTGATGAAAATTTTGGTGTAGAGAATGAATGAACATATTATCAATGCTTGTTATTCTTAACTTTAGAGAATGCTCAATCGACTTGTTGAAAAGCATGGTACTATGGATCTTGAATGGTTACGTGAAGCTCCATTTGAAATAGCAAAGTAAGTTAAGAATATACTCATAACATTCATTTTCTTGCAAAATTTTTATGTTTGTATAAGAAGATTAAAATTTGATTTCCTTTGTTTGATTTTCAGGGCATATTTGTTAAGTTTCTATGGACTTGGCTTGAAAAGTGTTGAATGCTTGCGACTTTTGACGCTTGGTCACGATGCCTTTCCTGTAAGAGTTAAATGGGTTTTTTAATTTCTTATAAATACTTCCGTCATAAAAAAAAAATAAAAAAAAAAAAAAAAAAAAAGTTCGTTATATATACTCGGTATTATTGATTGAAAAGGATTTAAATAAGGAGATAAAATAGAGATACATAGGCAAGTATTAGTAACATCAATCAACGAGTATTTTGTCATGCTTACATAAATTAATACTCCCTCTGTCCCCTTATTTACAAGCCTAATAATGTTTTTCACGAGAATTAAGGAAGTAGTCTCAATTCTTTAAAACTAATGATTGAGAGTATAAATATGCATGTGCGGTTAGAGAGAGATATAGAAAGAAAAAATAATTGATAATTATTAAAGAGAAGAGAAAATGTTGGAAATTAAAGTCAAAAGTAAACAAAAAAAAAATGACAAATCATAAAAAAAAGGTACTATTGTCAAAAAAAAAAATACAACCTAGGCTTGTAAGGGGCAAAGGGAGTAGCGGAGTACCATATATATATACGAGTATATTGTTGTGCTTATATATTTTAACCTTAATGAATATAATTCTTACATAAGAATTAAAAAATTCTTTATTAATTATTTTTCTTACTTACAAAATGAGTCAATTTTATAGTTAAATAATTAAAGTCTATGAAGTTAATAAAGCTTCCCTTGGAGTTCACTTTTCCTATATTTAATTTTTTTTTTTTTTAAATTTTTCCTATACATCTATAAATTTTTATGTGTGGTCACACTATGTGGCCTGGTCTAATCGATTAAATAACCCTTGAATGAGTAATCCTTGAATGGGTAACCTTTGACCGATCGAATAACTTTTGACCAACCGAGTAACCTTAGATCGACCAAGTAACCCCTGACCGATCGAGTAATCCCTGATCAATCCCCTAACCAACCTAATAACCCCTGATCGAGTAACCCCCGAGGGGGGTAACCTTTCACTGACCAAGTAACCCCTCAACAAGTAATTCCGGCCACACAAAAAAACGCGCTGATTTTTGTAACCTAAAACCATTGTTTTGTAATTAATATACGTAATTGTTTCCTTGCTTCTTAGCTTGAAAGTTCCCTTATGCAAAGCTACTACTAGTGTACTAGTCGTATGAGTTAGGCAAGAATAATTGAAATTACAATTTGAGGTTATTTCTTACTCTTTGTAAAGCTATTTATATCTACTTAAATTATTTATGCTAATCCTTCTAACTTATGTATGCCAGGTTGATGTAAATATTGCTCGAATTGCAGTGCGTTTAGGCTGGGTTCCTCTCAGTAAACTGCCTGATGAAATTCCCTTTCATCTTATTGACAAGTAATATATACGAAGTACATGTTTTAGAACTTGGATAAAAGGAGTATTTGAGAATATCTAACCTTGATAGTAATTTCGTGTAGGTACCCAAATTTTGATGACATTCAAAGATATCTTTGGCCCAGAATAGACCATATGGACAAACAAAAATTGTACGGTTTCTTTGTACTCCCTCTGTTTCTTCTTATTTAGAAATTTTGACAGACGTATAATATGGAAAGGAAGAAATTCAAAAAGAAAAACGGAAGATAATCTTATACAACTATTCACTAGAGTTTATTATTCTTATATTTTTTTGTTGGATTACAGGTATAAAATTCATTATCAAGCGATTACATTCGGGAAGGTACACTTTTTTTTTTTTTATCATTCGATGTCCATGTAGTACATTACATAATTTTATGTATAATGTGCTTATGTGCATCTAGTGTATACTGGAGTTTCTTTGAATGTGTGTTTTGATTGCACTAACCATATAATTACAAAATGTTATTATGTTATAGGTTTTTTGCATGAAGAACAATCCCAATTGTAGAGCATGTCCATTTAAGAATGAATGCAAGTACTACCAGAGTCTTGTAGAAAGGTTTGTAGCAGCCTGACACATAATTATTAATGAAATAATGAAATTGGACTTTGTAACTAATTCAATAATAGTATACGATATCATATATATTTTTATATCTGTAGTTACACTATCGGTCTCGGCACAGGTGGTGTGATTTGCCATCCCCTTTACATAGTTTATAAAACGAAAAAAAAAAGGGAATTTTGACTTTTACCACCTTCAAATAACCACTTAATTGAATTTACCACCTCCAAAAAAAAAAGATTTACTTTACCACCACCAAAATTTCCAAAAATTCGATTTTACCACCAACTAACGGATTCCGTCCATGAATCCGTTAGTAGGGCCCACCTTTTTGACGGTTCTTCTTCATCTTCCCCGATTTCCATATCAACCCAGCCAGCAACGAAATTAACACACCATGGTTGGTCGGAATTTCGTGTGGGGGCAAGGGAGGGGTCGGAATTTGGTGTAACCTAGGGAGGTGATCGGAATTAGGTGGTGGTTAGGGTTTTAGGAGTGCGGAATTTGGTGGTGGCTAGGGTTTTAAGAGTTGTCGGAATTAGGGGGGCTATATGGGTGGTCGGAATTTGGTGGCTAGGGTTTTGAGGTCGGAAATTGGTGAAAGGGGGTCGAAATCCGGTGTGGGGGCTGTGGCTGGGTGCGGTGCGATGCGGTGTTAGCGGTTAGGTGGTGGGGTCGTTGGTCGTAGTGATTAGGTGGTGGCTAGGGTTTTGAGGTCGGAAATTGGTGGAAAGGGGGTCGAAATCGGTGTGGTGGTTGTGCGGTGCGGTGCGGTGGTTGTGGTTGTGCGTTGCGGTGGTAGTTATTAGGTGGTGGGGTCGTTGGTCGTAACGGTTAGGTGGTGGGGGCTGGTAGCGGTTAGGTGGGGGGGCTGGTCGTAGCGGTCAGGTGGTGGGGCTGGTCGTAGTCGGTCCGGTGGTGGGGTCTCGACGGTGGCAGCAACCACCGGTTGATGGATGGGGTTTTTTAATTTTTTTTTTTGTTTTTTTTTTTAATTTTTTTTCTAAAGCTTACCCAATAATATGGCGACACGTGTGCAAGGTAGGCCCCACTAACGAATTTATGGACGGAATCCATTAGTTGGAGGTGATTGGTGGTAAAACTGATGTTTAATTTTTTTATGAGGTGGTAAAGTAAATTTTTTTTTTTTTAAGGTGGTAAATTCAATTAAGTGGTTATTTGAAGGTGATAAAAGTCAAAATTCCCAAAAAAAAATCACTTGTGCCGATCTTTTGTGATTTTGGCAATGGTCATATGTAATAAGAGGGTTGAAATTAGTTATATATTATGTATTGTATGGTATGTTAACGGACATGTTTATCTATATCTAACCAATTTATAATTTGTAAATGATTGCAGTGAAAAAATGAAAACTCTTTGTTTGCCTTGGGTAAAGTCCAAGAAGAGTTCTAAAAAGATGATTAAGAACATTCCAAATCCTTTTGACATCAAAAGGGAATGTTCTAAATCTCAGCTTATAATGTCATCGACTTATGATTCATCTTTATACAAGCCTTTGCATTTTCCGATGTTACATTGTAATTTAGATTCAGATGTTCGGAGAACGGCTCAATCCCCTATTGTTGAGTTTCCGTCCTCTCCAAAGAACGTTGAAGAATCAGAATTGCCTGACATCGAAGATATATTTAAAAATAATGCTGATGAGGTGAATGATGAATTTATAGTCGTTGATATTGGTACGTGTAAGCATACATCGTCAAACCAACTTGTAAAGGCTACAATGTCACCCAATTTATCGTCAAGAGCCTTAGTTAGCGTACCTCAAGATGATTATATTCCTTTACCAAAGCAAGTTATTCAAGTTCGATTGAGAACGGAGCATCAAGTGTAAGTATTAATATTTCAACAATTCAAATTTATTATGGATATTATTTATTAAATGATAATCTAACCTTGACAATAATGTGTATTTGTGTTATGCAGATATGAATTGCCATATAATCATCCCTTGCTACAAAACGTATGTATTTCTTTCCTGAATTAATTATTTTATATGATTTAAAATGTTTATAAATTAAAAAATGAAAAATGCCTTATAGCCCTATCTATAAGTAGTTAAAAATGGAAAAAAACAAATGAAAATATAACATTAATTACATTAATTTGCACGTGATTTTGTCTTGCATTCCTAAATTATTCTTCCTCCGTTTCTTTTTGTTTGTCCCATTTTGACTTTTTATAGTCAAATTTTTAAAACTTTGACCAAAAATTATTGTTAGATTAGTCTCGATGTATAGTTTTATAATATCAAGATTTTATAACTTTTAGTAATATATAATATTAAAGAAACGGAGGGAGCACTAAAAAAATATGAAATGCTTGTTATTAGTTTTAAGGACTACATATAGCATTATCTTTAAGAAAATTGAGAGATTCTTTTTTTGTGTTAAATTTTGATAAGAACGTAAGGAACACTATTGCTTGGAAAATAGCAAGAAGCTTGATTTCGAGTGTTATCAATTGTGCAAAGTGTTATATATATATTTATATACACATGAATTACATATACGAAGCACATATTATTAGCATTTGAGGATCCAATTTATAATAGTGTATTATGTATCTAAAACCACAAACCATTCTAGTAAACTTTTTTCTTACATTCAAATTTTGGTGTATTAGAATGGTTTTAGATTGTTATTGAAAATTAAAATATAGAATTAGCATAGTCTATAAGCTAATTTTTAAAAAAGAATCCCTTTTATTTATATTATCATTCCTTTAGGCGTACGTTATAACAAAATTATTAATAAAGTATTCTAACAAATGTAATGAGAATATTTCATACTACATTTATTTAAAATAAAAATGAAGAATTTTATGAATTTTCTTGTAGACTTAACAAATTTAGGGCACATGTTAGACAAACTATATAACTAATTTTTGTATGTGATTTGTTATATTGTTACAGTTTGAGAGACAAATAGGGAACATTCCTTACCTTCTCGCCATATGGACACAAGGTAATAGTTTTGTTATAAAATTATTTATTTATTTTTTTGTACCAGTAATGATATTTATATAAGATTTTCTTGTCATATAATATAATGTATTTTGCTAATTGCATGAATAAAGTTATTATATACTTTATATTCATAATTTGTAATTTAATAGGTCAAAATAAAAAGATGACCGGTAATTTAGAAGGATCATCTGATCATGTGGAAAATGCGTGTTCAACTGATAATGTTTTTGATGAATCTTCGACAGTGTTAGGAACAATATTGGTAAGGATTTTAAACAAGTTCTAAAGTAAATAATTTTAATAATTATTTTATATTTATAAAGCCAACCTTTTATAAATTAAATTGTATCACAGATACCTGTTCGAACAGCAATGAGGGAATCTTTTCCACTCAATGGTACCTATTTTCAAATTAATGAGGTAACTAAATTTCACTTATTACGTAAACTACTGATTTGTATTTTATCATTTGTAACAAAGAAAATTTTTTGATGTCTCACAAATAATACCTTCGTTGCAAATAATAAAAAACGAAGATAATATTTATATTATATTATAATGGTACAATATATTGCTCGTATATATTGTTGATTGATTTAACATTGCATTGGATCATTATAGGTTTTTGCTGATGATGAAACCACTCAATGTCCAATAAAAGTTCCTACAAGTTTAATATGGATGTTAGAGAAACGAACTCTATATTGTGGATCTAGTACATCAGCAATATTTAGAGGTAAGTAAAAAAAAAGCTTATATTGCACTTTGCACCAATTTTTTTTTTGTTGTACTCGTAATTACTAATTATGCTTGATGATTGTGAAATTGTGTTAAACTATGCTTGATGATTGTGAAATTGTGTTAAACTAGGTTTATTAGTGAAGGAGATCCAACGATGCTGTTGGGAAGGTATGTAATTATGAGATAATTGTATTTTGTTTTTCAACATTATTAAGTTGGGGTTGTAACAATATTTAACAAATATAATTTGTTTATGTCTTGTTAGGTTATATTTGTACAAGGGGATTTAATCGGCAAACTCGAGCACCAAAGCCATTATCACCCAAATTTCATAATCGCTCACAAGTTAAGGGGAAATTGCAACAAGAAGACGAAGAAGATTATATATAATATACATTTGTGTAATAATTAATGTTGCATTTGTCTTTTCTTATGTTGTAAACATTTATTTATCAATTATTTGTAAATAGTATACTGTATAGTATAAATGCTTTTAATTCATTAGAAATTTAAAATTAGAAAAAAAAATCATATATCTATCCACTAATTAATCTAGCAATTCACTCCTGTACTCCTTATCCCTAAATTAAGATATGCCTTATGCTGTACCAAAAATATACGGAGTACTCATAACCAAAATTATGCGCGTAAATAACAATACCTCACTTTTACGGATGTATACAAGTGGGTAAATGTTACTTATCTTTATATAAACATTTTTTCCAATATAGTACTAAGTATAATCTTCAAAATTTTTAAATTACTCTGTATTTTAACATAGTCAAGTGAGATATTAATAGTTAGTCGACATGGCTCAGGATTTAGCAACAATGCTTTTCTATGAGTTTGAAAAATGTTTTTTTATTAGCGTACCACATACCATACAAAGTTCAACATTTCTTTTGGCTTCGAGTTAACTTTGGTTGTTCTTTAATTCTCCCACTCTAAACTCTTACACCATTTGAATTCATGCAATTAGATTGTTAACTTATTAATTAAACTCCTAATGAATCGAATTCGTTCATCTTTTACAACCCCCAGAATTCTTCTCTCAAATTACTGCACTAAATCTGCACTAATTCCTTCATCTTCAACCCCATTCAATCCTCCAACTGTTCCTCACTCAAAACCCAGCTTAAACCCCCTTTACAAATTCCTACCAGAAACTCAAAACCCTAATAATTTAGTCAATCTCATTTGCTCTGCTCTCAAACAACCCAATTTTGAAACTACCCATCTCACAAATCAATTGCAGGACCTCATTCCGCATTTGGGTACCCAAGAAATTTCAAGGGTTTTGCTTAGATGTCAATGTGAGTCTCAATATGCTCTTATTTTCTTTAATTGGGTAAAAAATGATCTGGGTATTAAGCCAACTTGTCATAATTATTGTATTATTGTTCATATATTGGTTTGGTCTCGGAATTTTGTACATGGAATGAAGTTACTGTCTGAATTGATTCGATTCGAGTCCGATGATGGTGAAATAATTGATATTTTTAAGTGTTTGGTTTCATGTTCTGAGGATTGTAATTGGGACCCTGTTGTTTTTGATATGCTTATTAAGGCTTATGTGAAAGATGGTTTGATTAAGGAAGGTTATAGGGTATTTAGGAAGATGGTTAAGATAGGTTATGTGCCTCATGTTTTGGCTTTTAATTGCTTGTTAAGTGGACTTTCGAAGGCGGAATGTGTTGATGAATGTTGGAAACTTTACAAAGAGATGTGGAGGATTGGTATTAACCCGAATACATGTACGTTTAATATTTTTACTCATGTGATGTGCAAGGACCAAAATGTGGACAAGGTAAATGAGTTCTTGGAGAAGATGGAGGAAGAAGGATTTGTGCCTGACCTTGTGACTTATAATACACTTATTGGTAGTTATTGCAAAGGTCATAGGTTGGATGATGCGTTTTATCTGTATAAGATAATGTATAGGAGGGGTGTGGCTCCTGATATAGTTACCTACACTTCGTTGATGAATGGACTCTGTAAGATTGGAAAGTTGAAGGAAGCTCATGAGGTCTTCCATAGAATGGTTGATAGAGGATTGACTCCGGATTTTATGTCGTATAATTCCCTTATCCATGGTTACTGCAAAGAAGGAAGGATGAAAAATTCAAGGCTCCTGCTTCATGATATGATTGGAAAGGGAATTCTTCCAGATGCTTTCACCTGTCAGATTCTTGTTGAAGGATTCGTGAAAGCGGGTAGCTTGCATTCGTGTTTAAATATGCTTGTTGAGCTTAAAAGGTTTGGAGTTGCAATTTCTTGTGATATCTACAAGTACTTGGTTATCTCTTTGTGTCAGGAGAATCATCCATTTGCAGCTGTTAAACTTTTGGATAGAATGTTGGAAGACGGTCATGAGACGGATGATGAGATATATGATAAATTGATCAAATCGTTCTGTGATAGTAATCTTTTAGAAGAAGCATTGCTACTTAAAAACAAGATGCTGGAAAGGAAGGTCAATCCATGTTTAGCCATATATAAAAATCTAATAAGCTGCTTGTGCAGATTGGGGAGATGCTTGGAGGCAGAAGTTCTGTTGCAAGAAATGGATTTATATGATCTTAAACCTAACAATGATATCTGCAGGGCTTTGGTATTCGCATATTGTACAGAAAATAATTCTGATAAAGCTGAATCTATGCTTCTTTCACTTGCTATGAAGTATCAGCTTTTCGATACAGATAGTTATAATGCGCTTCTTAAGACTAGGAGTGGGGAAAGCAGTGCTGCTGAATTGATGGAATTACAGGATAAGATGCTGAAATTGGGCTTTGCACCCAATGGTTTAACTTGCAAGTATGTGCTTCAAGGACTACAGAATGCTGTTATGAAGAACAAGGACAGCCTTCAAACCTGCTTTCACTAACAGCAGATTAAAATGATGAAGAAGTTTGTGCGCGCGCTTGATTTAAGTATCATAAGCTGTACAAAAATCCTATTATTTCATCATGTCCTTTGAATGGTGGATGATGATTGGCATTTGGCAATCTGAAGGTTGATATTATCGATTTACTCATCTTGAAGATTCCGAATTCTGAGACCCCAAGGTGATCTTTTTTTTCTCTCCCTCTCTTCCTTAACATCCCCACCAGAAAAAATTCCTAAAATTTGCCTACTGACAGTGCTTTACATGGATTTATATATTTGAAATATAAATCTGAGTTCGTCGACCATATATTCAGCTGAACATAATTGGAATTGGATACTTATGTATGATAATGTGAATAATTGAATATGTGAGTATTTTCAAACTTGTTGCCTGGAAATTGGGGGAAGGCATGGTAAAATTTAAGTACATTTATGATCTTGGATTGAGCTTTATATTTGCGTTTCTGTTTTGAAATGCATTGCTGCCTACTCTAATTTTTAGTTGAAACCTGAAGGTGGACTTTTCTTTGGTTTCCTTTTTATTCCGAGAGGAATGATTTCATCATAGAGACTGAGGAAATGCTGATATATGCTGGTTAATTATACGATGTTTTGGTTGTAAGGATTTGCTAGAGTAAGGCTACGAAGGAAGAATCTATCGTACGATTCATGACCCCCACCCTTCCCTTCGTATAAACATTGATGTAGAGGCTAGCTTTCCGACATGAAACTGTTTCATTTTGTTCACCATGGGGCAATACTGTTGCACCAAGTTTTTTCTATCCACCCCTCTGCCATTTTTATTTGTATATCTTGATATTTTTTACAGGTTGAGCCATGATTCATGGTAGTTTTTTTCTATCCACCCCTCTGACTCTATGAGCCATGATTTTCTGGAGTCAAGTAGTCAACCATATTAAAATTTCTGGCATGCCAATTGGTATGAATTAGCTAAAAGGTACATTTTCTAATTCTTTTATTTAGGTATTATAGATTAAAGCTTGGAGAATGAAGGTTTATCCTATAAACAGGGGGTCTTAATCTTAAATATTTTAATCTTCAACCTTTTGAAATAGTGAAAAGTCTATTAATATGTGTAGGATGTATAATCTCATTCATGTTACACATTCACTATCCTGGTTCTCTTTCTCCCACCTCCCCCATAGAAGAAGTATTATTGTTCTGTTTGTGGAAATCATTTACCACTGTTCTTTAAGGGAGATAGCTGCTGTATGCAAATCCCGTGTCTGATTTTTTTTAATTAATTAAAAAATATTCACTGATACAGGAATGAAGAATTTAACGTTTAATAAAATACTCCTGTGCTTCATGTGCTTATGTTAACTTGTCCCTGACGCTGGGTTCTGTTGTTAGTGTAGGCTTGTAGAGTCTCGTGCCAAATTGCCAGTACATCTGCTAAGCTTTCCTTTTCTGTTGGGTCTTGACTTGCCAGTTCTCTTTGGTCATAGTTTTAGAATATGATGGTTGACATAGGTTTATACTATTAAAGAACTTCTCTTTGCTAAGCTGCAATATACATCATTATTACATGCCGGATTGCAGTTATCAATGTCAACGAAAACAGCAAAATATTGGATCATAATAACATAGATGATTGTTAACAATCTAACCTGCACATATTTCATCCTTTGAATAATACTCTGTATGTGCATGCTAGGGTATATCATTACCATGTTAGATAGTAAAGATGTTGGCACTTCTAAAATTCTGAAAACAGATGGATAGTAATCTGTAGCTCAATGAAGGTATTGGTTAGGATACTTGCTAAAGTAGTTGAAGCATTAGTTTTAATAGAAATAAAAGTAGGTAATGCTGTAAGGGAGTATCCATTGTAATTTTTTTTTTTTTTTTTAAATTTTTTATTTTATATATATATATATCCTGACACATGGTTTGAAGTCTTTGAACCTATTCATAATCTCAAGCTATCCATCATTTTCCGATTCTCATTTTATAGTTATAACTTTCCTTTTACAATATCCTAGGAGTGTATAAGACTGTGGTCCGAAGCCCTTATGGTGGGGCTCAGTTCGAAGGCGTCCTGCTGCAGAAACATCCTTGTTGATCGATGGTGCCTGACAGTTAAACTAATGCAGAGTATTGATGTATCTGAAAGCATTTTGGCAGTGCCTTTTACTTTTATTAGTAAACATATGAGCATTAATAATTAAATGTATCAACAAATTACTCAAAACTATATTTCAAGAAAAGTAATTACTACAAAGTATATTTTTTTAGACATTCTACCAGTGTGTTTAGCTATTAATTCCAAACGATGGGATGGAAGTTTTTGGCATATTGCTCTTTATGTACTCCTTATGTAAGAAGCCTAAAGGTTATATTTTATGTGCAGACACTAATTGCTTACATTGCTTTGTACTAGATAACCAAGAAAAAAGAGTCTTGTTTTCAACAATCTTTCCTGGCTGATACAGATTCTATCTAAAAATTCATCCCTTAATCTATTTATTGTTTAAAACCTTCATGTGCACCCAATATTTGGACTTAGCCAATAACCAATACCACCAGTCCACCATACCGATTACCAAGCAGTCATGCATAGTTCGGCTGCCAACTACAGCTTACATGATCCAATTATGGTAGTTCATTTGCCCTTACAAAAAGAGATGAAGAAGAGATTTTCTTGAGGAGTAAAATCATAATATTAGCGTCAATTAGATGCCTAGACTGCCTACATTTCTGACCTATGAGAAGAAACCAGGAAAGGGGTATGTGTCTAGGATTTATAAACTTCCTGTCATTTGGGCTTAAGGCTGGAGTGAAGAATTTTGACTTTGTCTAGACTCAAGGGATTGACATGATGGACAATTGTTCTTGCAGTTTGATATTTTTAATTTTGTTTTTCTATTTTATAGATGGGATGATTGATGAGTTTTCTATTTAAAAGTTGAACTTTGTTTCTTTCTTTTTCTGTTTGCTCTGGCTCCTTACTCAGCATGATACTCAGTAACAGAAATATTTTCGACTGAGTTTCTATTTTACTAAGTGTGCTGCACTGTAAATCACATTTTCTGATGTATCCAATTATATACTAATTTAATAAGTTTACAGGTGCCACATAATTTAATAAGTTGTGCGAACTTCAATCTCATCAAAAATCTCTTCTGTAATTTGCATGACTGGATAGTTTTTATGGCTTGGTCTTTGACAAAAATGATCTACTATGCTCACTCATATTTAATGCAGTTTGCAAATACTAATTGCTGCACACTTAATTTTTACTTATTCTCAAATGATCTACTATCCTCCAGAAGTCCTGAATTTTTATTTCTTTTTTAAGCTTTTTTAATGGCTAAATCTTAAGCAACAGTGCTTTTCATTGTCAAAATGATCTTAAATTAGATCTGATAGTTAGTGCATATAGAGTGCTTTGTAGCCTTGTAGGTTTTGCTCAATTACACGAAGAACTAATTATTTTGGTGTGTTTGTAGGACTTAAGCTGGTGTGATGCTTGGCGCATATTATATTGCTTGGCAAACATAAAGAGACGTGCATGCATTGTGTTATGGCTGTTTAATTATGGGAATATCCCCAGAAATTGGTTCACCGCCATAAAAGGGAACATCTGTTGGCTGCGCAAGTGAGCCGGGAAAGTTTGATTGCAGCTGTTGCTTTCCTGAGAGTGTACTCTGACTGAGTATGATGCCTGAGGAACTCCTCCTGGAGAGGAAGAAAGCTATTAGTAAGCCTTTTTCTCCATCCATTTTAAACTATACCATAATTAGAAGCTGTCGGTCAACTTCTCATCCATATCTGATGCATCAATGACTCAATAATTTTTTTTTTCCCGGTTATCAAGACTTGTCTAATTTGTGTTCCTTTAAAAAAGAGATCTTATCAACATTTTATTAGGAATTAAATGACTGGACCCACTTTGATATTTTGCATCAGATGAATAAAAACAGTCATCAGTCATCATGGAATAAACAAGCCATTTGTTTGCATTGAGGGTGTTCTCACTATCTTAGTCCAAAAATGATATCTCAGATTACTATATGGAGCAACAACCTCTATTTGATGCCTTAAAATTGCTTGAATGGAAGGACCAACTCTTGAATTTTTCCTTGCTGAAATGTTAGCAAAAGGTCCTTTAAATTCTTGAAAGTTGAAACTATATTTCACCTGTGTCAAAAACCTTCTGTTCTGTGTTTTAAATGATACTCTTTAAGTCTTTATCCCACAATAAAGGGTCGCATTTGGTTGAGAATTACGATTTTTATAAAGGATTGAGCTAAAATATCGTAACTGTTCTTCATTAGATAAATTTTTTTTATAATTCTATTGTACCAATATAGTTCTGCGTAGGATTTATTTTGTTAGTGATATGGGAAAGCTCAAAATATGAATGATTAATTGTGGACGTTTTTTTTTCAACTTTAATTGGTTGAGTACTGCTGAGAATTTTTTTTGGATAAAATCTTTTTGCATCCTTATAACTTTTGTATTTTATGACGTTTTTTTTCCCCTGTGCTACATGTTGCTGTTAAGCATGTTAGGCTTTGTTCTTCACCTTCAAAAGAGGGACTTCGGGAAAAATAAATTCTCAGATAATTTTGAATAATTGTATAAATTAAATTCAGCCAGCAATGACAACTAAAATAAGTTTGAATAAGATCAAATAGGCTTATATTTTTGTGAAAGAAAGTAGTCTAGTATGCTTAGTGTAGGTACTCCGTATAACTTAATTCTTCCCTTGACTTACTTGATTATATTATTGCAGGAATGCGATTTTGTGATAAGCATGCACAGTTAACTACAGTTTTGTGGTGTTGGCAATTTTTTCTAGAACACCACCAGAGATCATATTTTCTGGTGAGTGGACGTTACGTATCTAAATAGATAGAATGCTTTAATTTGTTGTCTCTTCCTATTCATGCAATCATGCTATATTATATTGCATACACCAGCTGATCTGTAATAGCATTTTGCGTCGTAATTATCTTTTTTAATGAGATGATTCTGGGCCTGCTAATTATGTTTTGACTATTGAGTTATCGAAATTCCTTAACTTTGGATGTGTCATGTGATTCTACTGTCTAAATGCCTATTAAGAGTTTAAGACATTGTAGGTTTGTAGCTAGTCACCTTAAATTTGGTAGTATTGTCTGAGATTTATGATTCTGGAAAATTCAATACTCTGTTTAGCCTCTAAATGAGTGTTTTTATCCAAAGGTACCTGAGTGAGTTCTACATGCGAAAGAAAATATTTATTGATCTGTAGTCAGGTGCAAGAGCTAGCACCTCACCTCCTAAAGACGCGCACCTGCACCTTACTCCTTGGTGCACCTCATGCCTCTTAAAACTAAGGCTGAACGTTCAGAAATCGTTATTGAGTTTTGTGAGTTTTGAAATAAGTATGTTAATACAATTAATAATTTGTTTAATACTCTGACAAAGTCTTGTATTGGACGGTATCACAATTGTTGTGAGAGTGGAGTGACTTAATGACACACTTATCTGTTTTTGACCTTCTTAATAAACAAATTATATTCAATTTGTTTTACTTATTTGCTTAACTTGATGATATTAAGTATCACCATCCAACTTAATTTGTTTGGTTACTCTTGCTCATAATGTTTTTGTTAAAGACTGTAATTCATTATTTTAAAGACTTCATAATTCATGTTTATCTATAAGAAGTGTTTTGTACTTTTGTACTGCACATTGATGAAGTGGCTGATTAATGAGATTTAACATTAATTGGATTGATCAATGCGTCATTTTTATAATACTGGATTGAAAGATAGGTCAAGTAATAGATGCATTTATTGGCTACCGAAAGTTAGAGAAGTACTTGTCAAAACTAACCATAGTAAATTAGTAATATAATCCGTACTTCCTTCGCTTTTACTCGTACTTCCTTCGCTTTTACTCCGTAGTACATGCAATCGGTCTAACTTTCATGTTTGTCAAAATGTCAACTGCACAACTCTAGCTATTAATATTACTGTATTAACATATTTATTAGTAAAACTAGATGAATGTACGGTTTATTTGTATTTTTTTGCAACTTATATTTTTTTCGTATATTTGTGATAAAATTTGTTACTTTATTTATTTGTTGTATGTAGTATATTATATTCTCATTTAATAATTTTTATTTTATTTAATTTTAAAATAAATTGTGAATTTTCTCTCATTCATTATATATTTAGATGAATTTCCTAATATCAAAAGATAATATTTTATATTTATTTAATTTAAACTTTAAAATCTCATTCGCCAATTTTACTTATGGCATTTGAATTATTTAATTCTAAAAGAAATTACAAATCTCTTATTTAATTGGAATTAATTAAATTTTGTTAATGCAAAAGTTAATCTTTAAGACGAATAAATGATAAATGATGAACATTTTTTTTTTTGCTAGAAAAAGAGAAAGGGACATATTTTTAATTTTAATGATTTTTTTCTTATTTTTTGTATCTAATCCAAAACTGTTTTTTTTTTTTTTTTTTTTCTTTTGAGAAAACTGAATTTTTTTTTAATTGAACGTGATTTCATTTTTATTTGTATATTTTGATAAAAATATTTTATTATAACCACTTGTCATATTTTCATTATTTTTTTTTATCTAATCCAATTTTTTTTTTTAAATATCATTTGAACGTGAATTTCATTTTTTTAAGTTTAATAGTAATTTATATATATATATATATACGAAATAAAATAAATTGTTTCTTTTCTCTTAAATAAAATTTTTAATTTAAAAAGATACTTCCTCCGTTCTTTTTTACTTGACCCGCTTTGACTTTTATACTATTCATCACCCCTCCTTTGACCATCTTTTGTGAATAATATGTAAGGAAAAACATATTCATAATGGATCTTTTTGAATTCGTCTCAATAAGTTCTATCATAATATATAACTTTTATAATTTTTACTTGTGGAGAATTAAAGTTATAAAGTTTTTCATTGGTAAGCGTAATAAAAGAAACAGGTCAAGTAAAAAAGAATAGAGGAGGTAGTATTTATTTTTATAATAAATTTAAATTTTTAATTTTAATCTTATGTGGCGCTTTAAAATAACAATCCTACGTGGAATAATACTATTTTAATACTCCGTATTTTTATTGTATTTTAAAAATTATATAAGTATTTATAAAATATATATTTTTAAGGGCTCAAGTATTTTAATTAAATATTTTAAAAGGCTAAACTATTTTAACTATTGAGTTTTATAAAAGTAAAATATATTTTGTGCTAAACGTTTATTAATTATTTGGCCTTGTTTAAAATATCGTATGTAAACTATTCCTACATACCCCTAGTGGATTTACCCAATTATTTAACTAAGCCAGTCTTTTAGGTCAAATATTTCATGACTAAAGCCCACTTATTTATTAAGCCTAAACCAACCTCTACTCTCTACTCTATAAATATCCCCCAAAATCCCAAAATTTTCCCACACTAAATGCTCAAAAATCAGATTTCTTGGAGTAAGTATTCTTTCTTCCTTTTTCCTTATTTTCTCTTCTTTTTCTTTGCTTTTCTCCTTTTCTTATTTTCCTTTCTTTTTCATTGTTTTTGGGGGGTTCATGCATGAACCAACCCGCGCATAGCAGCTTGCTTTGTTGCTTGAAGACCCACCTCACGCTGCCACATCATTATCACCGATGGCACCCACCTCCGGCCAGCTCGCCACCCTTGGTGGTTGTTCTCTCTCTCCTCTTGTTTTTAATTTATTTTACGTATTATGTATTTTGGGTTTTGATTTTTAAATATTAAAATATGATTAGCATGCTTTATAATTGTGCTTTAATGATTAAAGAGTATAAATTTCATGTTATAAAGTGTTTAATTTCTGATTTGTATAAAGTATTAAAAGTTAGGGTTTTTAATTGTTAAAGTGTTGATTTTTAGGGTTCTAACTTGCAATTGATTTGGGGGTTTTATATAACCATTGATTGTAAGTGATAAAAGCTTAAAGACTCTATTTTTATAAAGTTTGAATGAGTTTTTATTTGAAATAAAATGCTGGAATTTTATTTTAAGTACTACATTGTGTTTCAATAAAAAGGGGTTGATTACACATAAGTAGAGAAGGTTTTAATTGGTTTTAATGGAATTTAAAACTTAAAAAGTATGCTGTAATTTTTATTTAAGCACTGTATATATGTTTCTACTTTGTGGTTTTAATTAACCACTTAAAGATAGAGTTTTAAAGATTTTATACCAAAATTTCAGCTTATTAAAGAGGTTTTTAAGTGTTTAAAAGTTGCTGGAATTTTGTGTAATTAAGGGATTAATGGAGTTGTGTATTTGGTATTGTAGGAGACTTTAAGTTGAGTAATTTCTAGCATTGTGGATAGTTGGAAAGACGATTTGAGGTACGTATGCGCATAGGATGTTTTAATTATGTGTAGTACCATGTTAGGAAGTTAAATTTTGGATCAAGTATGATATTAGTATCATGTTAAGTTGATTATGGTGATATTTGGTTGAATTGATTTGGTTATCCATGTCTTATATGTAAGCATGTGAATAGATTGGAATAATCATTATGAGCTTGATACAGGTTGTAAGTAATTGAATCATGTTATATTATTTGTTATTCATTATCAAGAAGACATGAATTTATTAAGCAAGGCTTATATGTGTTTAAAAAAGCTAAAGTTATATTTATTGAGCATGATTCATGATTTTATTCTCACCCATTTCTTATTGGAGTTGAGTCAAGAAAGTTAGTTTATTTATTTACTCACCCACATAAGTTGAGGTCGAGTCAATAAGTTAGTTTATTACTCACTCACATAGTTGAGATTGAGTCAAGGAAGTTATTAGTGCATTTTATGCACCAAGGTAGGAATCGTGCAATTTTGTGCACAAAACTAGGCAAGGAACCTTAATTAAAATAAATAGTATATGCTCACTAATTAAATCAAGAATAAAATGGAAGTATGTGTTGTATTGACATATTTGTTCTTGATTGATTGGCTGAAGTCATCACAAGTTTAATTGGTAAATCATGTAAAGTGAAGAGGATACACACCAAAACTCTTGGAACGTATATACCTTGAGTATGAACATATGGGGGGACTTATGAGGTTTTATATTTAACCATAGCTTCTACAGGGGTATAGGACGCTGTACTTTCTTTTATTATTAATGCGCTGGAATTCTGTCACAAGGTGACATAGTAAGTGCCAATTGGGGTAGCTTTCTAATTGGAAGTCCAATATTTTAATGGGCTATTTTAAGGAAGGAAACTCGTTCGATGCGTTATCCAAAACTATATATTAATAAATTAAGTAGAGTCATGAGTCAACGGTAAGTTGACTTGTGTTGTATGGCAAACATGTTTTATCCATTTATTTATTTATTGTTTATTGTTAGGATATTCATGTAAGTGTGATTATTCCTATTGGTTCATATGCACTCAACTTTTGCTGATTCGTACTTTGTAGTTTGTGTTTGACTTTTCTTTGTTTTGGCCCTACTATGACCCATTTTATATGGCGAGTAGTGAGGTTAAAATAAAGAGAAGTACAGGTAGAAGGAGCATATCAAGCATAATGGGATTGAGCGAAGAGGGTTATATGTTTCTTTGTTTATTATTTATTGTATTGAATTATTTATGTAATCATTGACACTAACATTAATTATTGTTTTAATATTTTAGTTTGATTTTAAAAGGGTCTTTAATGGTTCCAATTTGACCTGGTTGTCGGGCGGGTCGGGCCAGGGTCGGTGCGGATTGAGTCAAAGAGGGTCACATTTTATAGGGTCAATAGCAGGTCGGCCAAATGCGGGTCACGGGTCAATAACGGGTCGATAATGGGCGGGTTAACAAAATATCAATTAAAATAAATATTGAACAAAGTCATTATTGAGTATATATGAATACAAATTTATCTATGTAATTATTTTCACATTATCTATTTTGTTTATCTATTAAATTGAAAAAAAAATTTGACCCTATATTGACCCTACCCAATAAGGGCCGTGTCTGTTAAAGGCCTTGTCCATTAAAAGCCCTTTAAGCTTGGCCATGATCCTATAAGCCCATTTATCGCACTGGTCTCGAAAACGAAATTCTCGTATTTTCAGGCGGAGCACTAGTAAAAGATCACCTAGAGACCATTGAGCTATCATATCCAATAACCAGCTCTAGTTCCAATTTATTGGTTTGATGTAAGTTGGTTTTAAAGTTGAGTTTGTTGCATTAAACTTAATTTTATTTGAGTTTTCGAAAGTTAGTCTTCCGCTGTGTGACTTCGAAAATAGTCTTAGTCGTTATCACGGTGGCGGTAATATTTTGTTTATTTCCTGAAATGAGTTTTATTTAGACTAAAAAGAGTATTTTAAAAGGAGGAAATTTCTAAGGTATTACAACTATATGTAACTTTCTAAAAATACTAATCCTACATGGCGCTCTAATAATTTTTTAAAAAAATCAAAATCCGAGGTGGCTTTCTAAAATCTTGGGAAAAAATCCAAGATGAAGCCCGTGCGACGCACGGTTTGTTTATACCTTTTAAAACAATTTATTTATATATTTATTTATGTGATAAAATTTGTTTGTTTTACATGTAGATATTAAGGTAAATTTCATAATCTCAAAAGATAATATTTTATATTTAATTAATTTAAACTTTAAAATCTCATTTGCCAATTTTGCTTACGTGGTATTTGAATTAATTAAGTCTATAAGAAATTACATATCTCTTATTTAATTGGCTGTAACTAAAATTTATAATCCTTTGTGGCGCTAACAAAATTTATTTTTACGTGGCTTTCTAAAAACTCGGGAAAAAACTCCCCTTTAGATATATACTAGTTTTGTGCCCGAGCAATGCCTAAATGGTTGATAAAATTTTAAATTAACATTTTTACTTAAATGTTAAATATGGTCAAATAATTCGTTCTGATAATGTAGGATATTTAGACATACGATATCACATGGCTTATATTTATATTAGTGTACTTTTGTTTGTAAATAAATATCTATGTTATTATTGACTTGAAATTATTTTTATTGAACTTAAATTATTTTTATTGAACTGAAAGTATTTTACCAACTAAAATTATTTTTACTAATTGAAACTTAATTTTACTGATTCTCTAATATCTTTTTAAATAAATTAAATAACAATGCATTTTGTATGCGGCTAGCCACACCATCTGATTGGAGAAAGTAACCCCTATAAAACTAATCGAGTAACCCTGTAATACTAACTAAGTAACCTCTAACACTAACTAAGTAACCCCTATCTATAACACTGATAGAGTAACCACTATAACATTGACCAAGTAACCCCTATAATACTAACGAAATAACTCTTGTATAGTTGGTGACACAGTTTGACCAACTACGTATAAAAGTTTGTGATTAAATATACTATAAGTGGATCTTATTTTAAAGAACTTTTTAAAGCGAATTTTATGATGGAAATAAAATTTAGTTATAGGAAACTTATTAAAATTTATGATTAATTTTGTATATACGAAATTTTAGAATTCTATCAATAATAAAACTCTATACAATAATTTTATCTTAAAATATCTATCCAAAAATCATTTACTTAGCATCATAAGTGTCACAATAATACCTATTTATCTTCTACGTGGCGCTCGTGGCCTGGCTGCGAAACCGGCTTTATTTATTAGTACTCCCTCCGTCTCTTATTTACATGCTTACTTTCCTTTTTGGGGGTTTCAAAATTACCTGCCTATTTCTATTTTGAGAATATACTTTTTGATAATATTCCCTTTTTGAATGAGTTGTCATTAATTTTTTTTTTTATTTTTTTCGTACTTTTGACATCATTTTCTAATACTTTCTCTCTCCATCTCTTCAATAATCACCAACTACCTTTTCTTTCTCTCTATCTCTCTCTAAACCCACATGCATATTTGTACTTCTCAATCATGACTTTTAAGTTCCTTAATTTCCGTGTAAAATGGGAAGTAGACATATAAAAAAGGGACGAAGGGAGTAATAATCCAACTATAATTTACATGACTATTAATTTTTGTTCTATTAGTTAAACGTAATTCCTAAAAAAAATGGTTAAATTATATTGAAAGGTAATACTAAAATAAATTGTGCAAAGATGAATTTGTTGCATGTATTGAGAAACTAATGAGGAAGACCTCCTTGTGCAGTAGGGGTCGTCTCGCATCTTCGGTGTGTGAGGTTCAAGCCTCACCAACAAATCCCTTTCCCCTACCCCTTAGCATTGTTAGCTAGGGCTCCTGTGATAGAAGTCTTGGCTGGGGCCTAGTTAACCTTTAAAAAAAAAAAAAAAAAAAAAAAAGGGTGTATTGAGAAACTAATGATTTAAATTGTAAACAATGAATATGAATACTTAAAGTTTAGCTGGCGAGTATTAATATAAGAATTAGTTAGGGAAGAGTAGTATTAAAAGTTTAGTCCTTGTCATTTTTAAGCTTGTTATTTTCATCACTAAGTTAATGAGCAATATAAGAATTAGTTAGGGAAGAGTAGGAAGGTCAAGGAATGGTAGTTTGGAGATGTAAATGTGAGGAGGTTGACGACTGATGAGAGTTAGTTAGAGTTATTGTGATAAATTTGGCTTCAATTTTAAGTACTCCATTGTCTTCCCTACTTTTTAAAAAGCATGAGAAAACACTTATAAATAATGTGAGGACAATTATATTTTTAAAATGTTTGTTTACCTATATGCCTATATTAATATGATGTTAATTACATCTAAACATTCCTTTGTGTGATTTAATTCTTGTGAATAATGTTTGGACAATAATACCCTCTAAAATGTTTATTTACTTATATGCTCTCTTTAATAATAATTGCCTTTTTGTGAACTCTAAAGAATAGTGTGCTATGTGTGAACATTTTTACACCTAAATTTATTTTTTGATTTTACATATTTTATCTCATTATGTTCCCTACAATTGAAAGAACTTCCGGTATCGCATGCGTTAGCCACCCTAATAAAATGAAAAAAGACTTTGGGAAATTCAATTGTCTTAAATATTTGGCTTCAGTTTTAAGACAAATTCTTAGGCCATGAGAGAAATTTTAAAATTAAATTGTCAAGATGAAAGGAGAAGAGAAAATTAGTGGTGGGAGATTTTAGGGGGTGTTTGACTGAGAGATAGGCAAAAAGAGAGGTTTAATAAGTTCAAATCTTTGATAGAAGTGTTGTTGAAAGAGATTTAATGGTTTATAAAGAGAGGTAAATTGTGGATGATCAATTGGCTTAGTTGGTTAAATTATTAAGGGGTAGTACTCAAGACTTTTGATCAAACTTGTCTATATCATTATCCTCGTGGCTCTTTTTACACCAAAACAAATAAACAGAGGTGTAATACCCCGCTCCTTCTGTTACCGAATACTTCGCCAAGTTAGAGTTTATGAAAACAACACTCTTTTTATTTCGAAGGATATGAAACAATAATCTAATTTGACGAAGTATTTGGTAATAGATGATATGCGACCCACAAGCTAGTTGTCATCCACATTACCAAGGACTAGGGTATGGTTGTTAACTTGTTATATTGCTATTTTCAAAGATAGACAGGAATTAAATCATCTCATCAGCTTGGGAATGTAACCTTTTATGCCAGAGTTTGAACTACTGTAGTAAGTAAATAGCCGTTGTACAATCTACAGTTTGTACCTATCTACTACGGAGTACTCCCTATCATTAAATTGACTTGACATAACTTCCCAACTGTTCTTATATATACTCCGTAGTTGACTTCATTAATAACCTCCTTTTTAAAATATATTTCAACTACCTGGATGTAAGTTTCTCTGCATGGCTTTCATCACTAAATTTTCCCTTCTTGTTTAGACCACTTATTAATTTTCTCGTACTTCCCTTCTTAAAATTCCTTATCTCATATCGCCCGCCCATCTCTGCTCTTGGTATGTGTTACTCCGTATTATTCAAACCTTTTATATCAACACACGTATCTTTATCAAATACTTGCCTTTACGACATTGTGTGTAGATACTTATATTTCATTTTGGATCTACATTTTGATAAAACCTACGTACAAGGTTGACATTTAGGCCCCGTCTTTGGAAATTATTTAGTCTCGTTATTAATCTATAACAGTTCAACTCAAAAGAACAAGGTCTTAGGCATGTACCCACCCTCTACTTGCTGAAATTCAAGTGACATAGCATTTGGTTATGTGACTACTTCACTCTAATCTTCTCATATGCATATCCTTGCATTAAGGGCCTAGGGACTTGTAGTCATAAGCACAGTTTAAGATTAAGGTTTCCGGTCTTAGCTTCTTAACAAAAGCCTTTTGGTGGAGTCTTTCTTTTTTTGGGGAACAAAAACATAAACTTATAAACATGTTAGAAAACACAAAAAATAATATGGATGTGATTTGTTAGATGATCCTCATTGAAATACTCGAGGAAATAAAGGTACACAACTAGATTACTAGAAGTAACCCACATATTAAGGTAGATTTCATCCCGTTTATGCAAGACTCCTTAAGGAGTTTGATAGCGAGCCTCCAATAAGTTTTTACCATCTCTCGGGATACCTTTCCTCTAGGGACTAGCTTGCCTGTACGAGGATTTGCGCTTGGCCAGGGTTAATGATTTTGTTTTTTGATTTTGTGTGATTAGTGTAAAATTTTGTTCAAGAAAAGGGATTTAGCTAACATCAACTTGACGATTCTTATGATATAATTCATCGTTACCTTTTGATGTTTTTGTTCAATTTTGGGATCACAAAATCAAAGAGAATATAAATATAAATATTTTCATCTAATAAGTCAAAATTTAAAATATTTTTCCTAAGAAAATAGGGATGCGGCTGTTCAATGCCTACCATGGGGCTACAAGGTTGGCCCGT